TGGATGGACCTGGCGTGTAGAATCCCAGGAGTTTGGTCCTTGGGTCCAAAGCTCCGGCTTCATTAAGACAGAAGCAAAAGTTAAGAGACGACCATTTCTCCTGTTCTTTGGCAGTCATGGCAGAAGCATCACACTCTTGGCTTTAGGGCATTAACTCCAAAATGACACAGATGAAGAGTCAGTAAAGTTCCAAAAGTAAGTACAAATTGAGAACTTGTGTGAAAGGGGTTCTCATTTTCTCAGTAAGTCTTTGAGAAACGACTTTAGGGGGAAAACTTTATAAATCCTGACTTGCTGGCAAATAGATATGCTGCTTCCTTCCTCTTTTCTTTTTTTTTTTCCCTTCCTACAATGGCTTCCTTCCTCCTCATCCACCTGTGCTACTGTTTATTCACTATCCACGGCTAGTCCTTAGGTCCAACAAGAGTCACTTTTGGGGTTACACTGCCCAGCCGCGCACTGAGCCAGCCGTACATCCGCACGAGTCGCGGTCCTGCTCTTGCCACCCCGAATCCAAAGCCAGTCCTAGAGAAGACCCCGACACAGGAAGGTAAGGAGAACGCAGTCTCATGAAACTCGGGCTCTTCACCAATCCGAAAACACCAGCAGATCCGGGACGGTGGGAGAAAACAATATTTCCGAGGACAGTTGATCAATTATAACAGGAAAAATTCTTCCGTCGATTGGAGCTGACAGCGGAACAAAGGTTCCGACGCCAGAAAACGCGAAGACTCGGAGGGATTCGCAGGCTGCCGCGATGGCCTCTGGAAAATGTAGTCCACGCTGGAAGTGCCCTTTGCAACAAACCGGTTAACCACAGGCCAGGACTCACGGGCTCTTCACCCTGCAAGGAAGGTCGGGTCGGCCTCAGACTAAAGAACCAGGAGATGTCCTAACCCACGTCGTGGACCGCCGAAGTGCCTTCTGGGAATTGTAGTCTCACGGCAGCAAACCCACTGACCACCCCTCACAAAGGGCAGATCTTACAGAGAATGCTGGGAAGGCTAATTCGGGTTGTGATTGGACCTTGACTGCAAGGACTTCTGGGAAGTGTAGTCTGGAGCGTTGCTCTGGTCGAACCAAGAGTTGGGAATTTCCCCTTTAACCTTGGCCACCCGGAATGAGGCCTCCAGGAATTAGGCTTTCTTTATTGTTTTTGTGCCTCTATCACCTGGCTTATCACGCCTGTCCTGCGTCTGAGTGTGGGACAACCCGTGTGTGACCGGCAGGGTGTGACATAGTGGGCTGGTGACCTAAATGGTTTGTGGATACCCGGGAATGATTGAGTGATGGAGACCCATGGATGGTGGATGCGACTCTGTGACACTGCGGTGCTCTGGAATTTGTGACTTGGTCTGTGGTACGTGACATGCCCACATGTCAACCTTTTTGTCTGTGCAGACCAGAGTTTTCAAACAGCTGTGTAGGTTTCCAATTATCCACACCTGCCTGTGCATTAACATGAAGTTGGCTGTCTTTAGTTGTCTGTGGGACTGTGGCAACTTCTTTAAGACTTACTTTCCTGTTTATGAATAATTGCAGGTTTCTTACTGACCTAAAGTTTTGTAACAAAAACAAATTTAGCTGGTGGAAGACTTGACCATGATTCTTACATTAAAGAAACAGAATTATGGAGAAAAATTCAATGTCAGCTTAAACTGATAACATCTTAAGACAAGTTTCAAAATATATTATGGTTTGGCCTGTCTTAGCTTTATGGTGTCCACAGTCTTTTTGTTTTTTGTTTTTTTTTTTCCTGAATAGAACATGACTGTAGAAAAATTCAGGCAGACTTGGACTGTGGACCCCCAGCACTGATGTAGGATGGGCAGAGCCTACTATGTCCATCTTCTGAGTTTGAACCTTCCTGCAGAAGGTCAAAAGCTTGTCTACTGTAGCACAGTTTGTCCCAGAGCAGGGGCCATCACTGTAGTTTGCCTGGTGTGCAATTAATGCCCCTTGACTTAATTTTGTTTCTACCAGGCCTCATAATTTCTGTGATGGCATGGACCCAATGTATTCCATCTCTGTTATTTCCTTCTCTGAGGTATTTACCACCTTGATTTCTTTCCTATGGGGCTGGAGCCAAAAGGAAGATGCATTTCCTTAGTCTGTAAGGAATGTGCTTAACAGTTTTATAATCACATAAACCTGAGTGCTAATACCAACTCAACCACTCAAATGTTGGTCATATGCTGGTTTTTTTTGTTTGTTTGTTTTAGCAAGTTACTTAACTTCTACGTTTTGATTTTTTTTTTCTCCTATAAAGACCTAGCTGGACGCTGGTGGCTCACACCTGTAATCCTAGCCACTCAGGAGGCAGAGATCAGGAAAATCACGGTTCAAAGCCAGCTCTGGGCAAATAGCTTACAAGACCCTATCTCAAAAAATCCATCACACACACACACAAAGGCTAGTGGAGTGGCTCAACATGTAGGCCCCGAGTTCAAACCCCAACCCCCTCAAAAAACAAAAGATCTGACTGCAGGGCTATTTTGAGGAGTTATAATTGCTGATATTAAAGAAATGAGGTTAAATCTCACACTGCAAGAGTCAAGAGTCCAGGGTAATAGAGTTCTTTTGACATAGCTGCCGGAAGGTGGCAGAGGACAGGAAAACCATTTACTTTTATACCCTCAGATGTATGAGTCATGAGGATATATTGTTTACTCAAAATATTAAAAATTTAAAGTAGAAATAAAAATAATAGCACATTAACTAAACATTTAGGGAAATTTTTTTTCTTGGGTTGTAAATGGCCGTGAAGCTAAACTATTTAAGCTGCTTAAGACCCTAAATTCCAAGGATAGAAACTTGCCAAGTTCCTGGACCGAAGCAGTTTCTTACTGTAGCAAAAAGAATTATGTCCTAATCCCAGGAACATGGCAATAGGCAATCAAATTGCAGATTGAATTAAGGCTGCTGATCAGTTGACTTTAAGATTACATTATCTTGGATTAGTCAGCTAAGCCCATTAATAATTAAGAGGTCCTTAAAGGTGGAAGAGGGAATCAGCCTCAGAGTGACAGTATGAAGGAAGACTTGACTAGCAGTTGCTGACTCCACAGACAGAAAAGGGCCACAAGCCAAGGAATACAGGAAGCTGGAAAAAGCAAAGAAACAAATTCTCTCACAGGCCTACCACCACCTTGATTTCAGTCCAGTGAGACTTGTTTTAGATTTCTGATGTTCAGACAATGTGTGTTAAGCAATTATTGAGAGTGAATGTATTACAGCAACAACAGGAACCAAACACACCTACATAACCCAAGGGAATTAGATGAATGTGGGGTTCTTCTTGTAGAAGACCAGAAACCAGTCTTCACTGAAGTATATTACAGATCAGTGACAAAAATTACAAACAAGAATGTCCCACCCACCTAAAATACAATTTGTGAAGGAATAAGAAACTTTTTTGGACATACATTAATTCAGAATATACCACGGCTTTACTGAGATAAATATAAACACCCTAGAATATAGTTTAAATGGCACCTCAAATAAAATTGTCATCTCTAGACAGGGAATAAAAAAATAGTGGCCAGCAGTGTCACTCTGAGTATATTTAAATTTAAGTGGAAATCTGGACGAATTTGACAGTACATAATATAAGCATCAAATAAGGGAAATCAAGTAAGAGCAAAATTTATAACTTTGGACTAAGAGCTGTCATTAAGTTAGTGAAAAGGTGTGAAGGGAGGGAAAAGCCAGCAAGGGTGGGTTCTTGGAAGAAGTAAATAAAATTCACGATGGGTTAGGACGTATAATACTGGAATCTTTCTGCCCAAGTACATTAAGTATGGGGAAAAGCTGGGTGCAGTGGTACATGCCTGTAATCCCAGCTAATGAGGAAGCAGAGCTAGGAGGGAGGATCCCAGTTACAGGCCAACCTGGGCAAAACGTGGCACTTGCATCTCAATAAACAAGCAAGGCGTGCTGGCTTGCACCCATGATCCCAGTTGGATCACTTAATAAAATGCAGTTTGAAGTTGTATTATTTAAGATGATTTGAGCTGCAAATTTACAAAATGATCAACTAAGAATAACTTCAGCAATAAAAGTTTTTATTTGTCTTGCATAACAAGGCATTAAAGAGGAAGTTCCAGAACTGGCCTGGAACCTGAGTGTTGCCAAGGCTCTGCGTCCACTTCTCTGTTTTCTTCTCTTGGTTCCAAGATAACCGCAGACATCCTGATCTCACAGGAAATGTGCAAGCACAGGAACTAAGAGGGGAGGAAGCCTTCACACTCTTTCTTCTGATGAAGAAAATCTTTCCCAGAAGCCCCAGTAGATTCCAACGGCCAATGCTGCAACTTACTGGCCATTCTGAGTTGCACAAGGAGGCTGGACAATGAGAAGCTATCTTCAAATTCTAAGGCAAGATGCATCTGACAGTAAAGAAAAGTGGGTATGACTGCTGGGTAGGCAATCAAACTATGTCTGTGATGGAAGTCACAGAAAGTAACCTAAAACAATTTAACAATGTGGAAATTAAGGAACTCTCCCAAATTTAGACATAAAAATATACATTGAAATAGGATGACATAAGAATCACGATTATTTACCACAGAGGGGAGCAAGGGTAGGAAGAGCTTTGGCTGCCTACCTTTTCATACATCTTCAGGTTTATGAGCCATGAGGATATACTGTTTATTCAGAATACTGAAGCTTTAAAATAGAAATAAAATGAGTGCGTACTAATCAAACAACATTCAGAAAGGAACTCCTTGAACTATCACCTTTTTGTCATAATTTTATTTTTTCTTCATTTGTTCTAGTGCCTGGGAGTTTGGTAGTCTTGAATAGTACATTTAGTGTGTTTGAGTATAGTCTTATGTTTTCTTATACATGAAAGGCATTTAAAGGCTATTAAAAAAAAAAAAAAAGGCCAGATGCTGGTGGCTCACACCTGTACTCAGGAGGCAGAGATCAGGAGGATCATGGTTTGAAGCCAAGCCTGGGTAAATAGTTCAGAGACCCTATCTCGAAAAAATCCATCACACAAAAAAAAGTCTGGTGGAGTGGCTCAAGGTGTAGGCCCTGAGTTCAAGCCCCAGTCCACAAAAAAAGAAGAAAAAGACTGTAACAATTTCTCTGGGTATAGCTTTGGCTATGTCCCTCCTCCCCTGGCATGTAAATTTGTCAACTTATTCTTATTCCATGGTATCGATATGATTTCATTGTCATCCCAACAATAATTTGGCTGGATTTTTGTTCTCTCCAGAGAACACAAACACTCTAGGCTCTGGTTACAATTAATAAGCTGTGATTAGAGAATGTGATTTTGGCCTCTGTTAAAGAAAACTGTTTTGCTAGTCTTTCCCTGTTGCTTTGATAAATGTGGTCAAAACACCTCATAAAAACTTCATATGGATTTACTAACTTAGGGTAAACTCTGACTGAGCATTCTCACTTGCAGTGTACCCTGGAATTTCTCAAGATGTAGGAATAAGTTGTGGTTAGCCTAAGCCAGTGGGCTGTTACAATCACTTCCATTCATGTGGCTGTTTGCCAACATAAGTTCTCTGATGATTAACAATGGGTAAGTGGTGATGGCAGGCTTTTCTACATTTATTATGTTCACGTGTGTTTCTCTACTGCGCAGTGTCTGGTGTTGAACAGCAGTTGAATCGTGACGTAAGGGCCTCCCACACGCCTGATAGTCACGGGGCTTTTCCTCGCTATGAGTCACCTGATGGTGAAGCAGTTGTGAGCAATGACTAAAAGCCTTCCCACAGTCCTTACACTCATATGGCTTCTCACCTGTGTGAATTCTGTAATGTACTGTGAGATGGGAGACCCGCTTGAAGGCCCTACTGCATACCTTACACTGGTAGGGCTTCTCTCCTGTGTGAATTCTCTGATGTTGCTTAAGTTGTGAGCTCACTCTAAAGGTCTTTCCACAAATCTTACATTCATAGGGCTTCTCACCTGTGTGAATTCTCTGATGGCGAATCAGAGTGGACCCTTGATTAAAGGCCTTCCCACACTCCTTACACTCATAGAGCTTCTTGCCAGTATGAATAGTCTGATGCTGAATCAACTGAGACCGGTGACTGAAGGTCTTCCCACAGTCCTTACACGCATAGGGTTTTTCACCAGTATGAATTCTGTAATGTACTTTAAGATGTGAGATCCGATTGAAGGCCTTGCTGCATTCCCTGCACTGATAGGGTTTCTCACCAGTGTGAATTCGCTGATGCTCAATCAACTGTGAGCTTCGGCTGAAGGCTTTCGCACAATCCTTACACTCATAAGGCTTCTCACCAGTGTGAACTCTCTGGTGCTGTATGAAATTTGAGCCAGAATTGAAGGCCTTTCCACATTCCTTGCACTCATAGGGCTTCTTGCCAGAATGAATGTTCTCATGTTGAGTGAGTCGTGAGCCATATTTAAAGGCCTTGCCACACTCCTTACATTTATAGGGCTTCTCGTTAGTGTGAATTTCTTGATGACTAAGAAGGAATTCTTCTCGCCAGAAGTCTTCCCTACATTTCTTGTGTCCATAGGGTTTTCCTCCAGTATGAATTTTCTGATAAAAAGCAAGGGATGCTGGCTGGTTGTAAGTGGGCATTTCTTCATGGTGGATAAATACTTGGCTGAAATGTCTGTCTGTATTTCCTGGTTGTCTTTCGGAGTGGCTTTTGCATTCCCAATCACCTTGGGAATGTGAGCACTCAAGACCATAGCTTGTGAGGCTTTGCAGTATCTCCCACTGGGGTGATTCTACCTCATAAATGTGCTGCTCTGGAGATGATGCTTTGACACTGTAGTTGGAATTCAACACTGAAAAGGAACAAAAAAGGATAGTATGGGGAGCATGGCTCACATGGTAGAATGCCTGCCTCATGAGTGCAAGGCTGAGTTCAAACTTTAATGTTCCCCTTTCCCAGCACCCCCCCTCCACCCCGCCAAAGAACCTGGGCACAGTGGCTCACACCTTTAATCCCAGCTACTTAGGAGGCAGAGATAGAGGTAAGCCCCTGACAAAAGCAAGACTCTACCTGAAAAATAACTAAAAGCAAAAAGGGCAGGGATGTGGCTGGAGTGGTAGAACACTTATCTACTAACAAGAGCGAGGCCATGAGTTCAACCCTAGTACTGCCAAAAAAAAAAAAAAAAAAAAAGTGATTGTTTCCTTTTCCAGAAAAAGGAACTACAGTAAAAATTAGAAGGCGTAGAGTCAAAGTAATACCAGTAAGTTCTTGAATGTGGCTAAGCAATTAGCATGTGGCAAGAGGACAGTATGAGGGATGTAATCAAGAGACTATAAGAGTTCTAAAATGTTAGTATAGATCTGAATCACTCTGAACCATGTTTTTTAAAACACGGTTCCTATGAGACTCTAGAAAATACAAATATAATCTAGAGAGACTCCTGAAAATTACTGGTGGCCTGGTTCTGAGTATGTAAGGGACTGTGTGTGTCAGGGGGTGGGGAGGGGGAGCACCAGGAAATGTTCTCATCTTGATTGTGGAAGTGGTTAGATGGGTGCACAAATTGTTAGCATGCATCAATACTGTGCTTACAGCAGGTACATTTTAATGAATTTAAATTATACCTCAGTAAGCTGGGCACTGGTGGCTCAGATCTGTAATCCTAGCTACTTGGGAGGCTGAGACTGGGAGGATTGCGGTTTGAGGCCAGCCCAGGCTAAAGGCACAGTGGTGCATGTGTCATTGGGCTACGCAGAGGCTGAGATTAAGAAGATCAGGGTTCCAGGCCTGCCTGGGCAAAAAAAGGTGGTGAGATTCCATCTCAAGGAAAAAAAGCTGGGTGTGGTGGCACATGCCTGTCATCCCAGCTACATTAGGAAACCTAAGATAAGAGGATCACGTTCCTGGCCAAAAAGCAAGACCACATCTCAAAAATAGCCAGAGAAAAAACAATCTGTCTAGCAAGTGCAGAAGTCCCGAGTTCAAACTCCAGTATCAACACTGCCCCACCAAAAAACATTATACCTCAGTAGAGTATATTTTTATAATGCAGAGATTTTGGAAGGTGCTCGGGATGATGTGGTGGTGATCGCACAACAATGTGCATTTTTTTTGTCGGTATGGGGATTTGAACTCAGGGCCTTCACCTGGAGCCACTCCACCAGCCCTATTTTTGTGATGGGTTTTTCAAGATAGGGTCTTGGGAACTATTTGCCCAGGCCGGGTTCAAACCACAATCTTCCTGATCTCTACTGAGTAGCTAGGATTATAGGCATGAGCCACCAGCACCAGCTTTTTGTTTGCTTATTTGTTTTGCTGTACTGGGGTTTGATCTTGGGGCCTCATGCTTGTTAGGCAGGTGGTTTACCTGAGCCACTCTGCCAGGGTGAATGTTCTTAATAATACTGACTTATACACTTTGTTAAGATGGGAAATCTTGTCAGTTGTGTTTTACAATTTTTAAAAAGTAAAAATTAAAGTGACGGAAGGGGTGTGTGGCTGGATCTGTGCCATGCCTCACCACTCAGGAGGACATGTGAGAGGAAAACCAAGCCAGCTGGCAGGACTGTCTGCCAGGAGGTTGGTGGTACACTGAAGCTACTCTCCTGTCACTGGAGGCTGCAATAACACAGCTACCATCTTCTATGGTGTTTTCGGTGTCTGAACTTCAGACAAAGACCACTGCCAACAGAGCAGCCTCTCCTGGACCTTTCCACTGCTTAGAAAAAGGGCCTGTGCTTTGTTTAGAGGGTCAGACCCCATTTACTAGGGGTGAGCCCAACCAGAGCCACATTCTTTGCTGCTTATTCAAACTGCATGGTGCATTTGATCCAAATTCTATCTGTACACGACTTCAGCTTCAATTACAGCACAAAAAAGACTCACAGCTTGATGTAAGGAACCATGGGAGGACACAGACAGGCACTTTTGACGTGTTCATAAAGCGTATCCAGCAACTGGCCTTAAAGGACTTTAAATGACTAAACTTTTTTTTGGTAGTCCTGGGGATTGAACCCAGGGCTTGAGCATGCTAGACATGCACTCTACCACTGAGCTACTTCCCCAGCCCTGTAGAGGACTCTTAGTGGAGTATAAACATTTCACCATTTTAGATTTTAAATTACTAAAAGTGCTAATTTGCATTTGAGGGATTTAAATGCTAGAAATCAGTATCGCTCTTATTCTTTCACCTTTGTTCAGCCTAATACTAAATTGTTTACATACTTTATTGTGCAGACTGTTGGTAATATCTGAAAAATACAACAGTCCTAGCTGGTGTGGTGGCACATACCTGTAATCCCGGCACTCAGGAGATGAAGGAGGATGATTGTGGGTTTAAGGCCAGCCTGGGCTACATAGCAAGACTGTCTCAAACAACAACAAAAAACCCCAACCCTATAGTTTTGTCATTTCCTTCTCTAATATTGATCATAATTTTGACATTCCTAAGAATATAACTGATTTTGGAGGGTATAAATTAGGATTTTTAATATGTAAAAATATCTAACACAATGTACTTTCTGCTCACTTGAATCTCTTCTCCATCATGCCCTTATAGTTCTTATTAATCTACAGGTTAATTTTGATACTACTTGTCAAAGAAACACTCTTGCATTTATGTAAATGGCTATGAATTACATACATGAAGTCTATATTTATATTTCTAACAGCTGACTTCTATTTGAATCATTACAAGTTAAAACATGCTCAGGTCTGCCACCAACACTGGCTACACCTGAACCTTTTTCTTTTGTGTATGTGCACATGCCTGCACGTGTGTGTGTGTGTGTGTGTGTGTGCGCGCGTGTGTGTGAATGCCCATCTCCCCTACACTGAAAGTTCCATGACGCAGGAATAAGGTCTGCCTGCCTCACCAATATACACCAAAGTGTTCCCCACAGTGCATAATGAAAGCTCAATAAATATTTGACTTTCCAAAATTTAAACCACCAGCAAATTCCTTTAGAAGAGTGGTCAAAGGGTCCAGATATTTTCCCAAAGAGAAAATTCTTTCCTTATTTTTATTCCCTTTATCCCTAAGTGCAGGTTGATCTTTTGAAAGTGTTTCAGGCAGGAAGGAGGAACCACGAGTGATACTGGTAAGCTGAGGCAGATGACAACAGGCATGGCCTCTGAATCTGGTTGCCTGGAGGGAATATTTTATCATGCAAAGGGGCTGTTTCCTTGCCGACCAGCTGACTCTTACCTACAGGGGCCGCTCTCTCCACTCACCTGGACACGAGCTTCCTGTTGTCACCCTTTCTTCTATCCAGGGCTCCTTGCCTTGCTCCAAGAAGGAAATCACATCGGGCTTTGATATGGTAAGACCTGGAGATGAGAAGATACACACCACCTGTCACAGTGGGTGGGCTCCACAATTCAGACCCAAGACTTAGTCATTGTGCAGAAGATGCAGCTGCAGAAAGGGCTGTAGGAGGACATATCACTGACTTGATAGGAAAGACACAGCTTCAGCCAACAGGCTGCCCTTCCCTTCAACCACTCAAAATGACCAACCAGTCACAAAACCGAAAGGCTCCTAGGACATGCCCAGGGGTAAGCTCAAACCAACAGATTAACCTTACCCACTAAAGGACACACATGCCCCTGAATAATGTCAAACCAACAGACTGGATTGCCTTACCCAGTGAGACCAGGTTGCTGTAAGTCTCTAACATCACATCTCTGTACAAATCCCTCTGATCAGGCTTCAGCCATTCCCATTCATCTTGGGAGAAAAATATGGCCACATCCCTGAACAGTTCTGATCCCTGGAACAATAGGCATGAATGGTAACACATATTTCAAAGGAATGTTTCACAGTGGCTGGAGGATGGCTTTGGAGGAAGGGGTGGTTCTGGTGAACACAAAGGTGGAGGCTGGACATGAGCAAGTGATAAGAGGCAATGGAGAAGAAACCAGAATGTCTCAATATTCTCAAACACTCCACTTTGTTTTGGTACAGGCAAAACTTAAAAAGCTAAATGGAATTTTTCTCACTGTGAGAAACAATATAATCAGACATATTGCCCATACTGCTTGGCACCTAACAAATTCTCAATTAGGTAAGATCTATTATTCCTATCTTTGCGGAAAAACAAACAAAAAATGGTAGTTGATGGACTTTCTCCAAATTATTTTTGCTTTAAAAATTTTTACAGAAAATGTTTTCTTAGAAACAGGATTTTAATGTAAGTCAAGAACTCCTTGAAGACCACAATTCATCATCATGTCAGAACATATCGTAAGTACTTTCTTTCTTTTTTGTGGCAGTACTGGGGTTTGAACTCAGGGCCTCATGCTTGCTCAGCAGGTGCTCTACTTCCATGCTCCTGGTCCACAGGCATTTTGTTCATGAAACAAATCAAAAGTGAAAATCACTTCTGTTGACTGCACACTTTTCTATCAAGTAAAAATAATGCAAACATTCTCTTATTTTGGATCCAGAGATTGGATCAGTTCTTTGCTTTGAAAATCTACCCCTTAGGCTGGTATTATCACTCACGATCCTCATTTCTGCCTTTCTTTTCCTCTTACGTTGAAGAAGCTAATGGGAGAATGACCCAAGATCAAATGCTGTGTGCAACATCAATTAGACCTTAATTCTGGCATCCAGTATCTCGTGGATTTGCAGCTAAGCATCAGTCACATGCAACTGTCAATCTTTTCCAAAGCAGGACACTGCACTGCATGCTGAAATTGAGACCCACCAGTGCCACCTCTTGCTTTTCTGTGTGTGATCACTTCTAAGTGTCATTTCCATCTCTTCACGTCTCAGTTCCCACAGGGATGCTCTCATCTCATGGAAAGAAATGGATTTCTGCTCAGAAATTTTTCAACAGAATGAATCCATGGGCATTTGTCAGAGAGGATGGGGTGATAGAAGGACTAACTGTCCTGCCCTTTTATTCCCTAAAGGGCCAGAGAACCAAATTAACTGATGGAACCCAGGTGGGAAGTTTCAGGATAAGGAAAACAAATATTTACATGATTTTAAAACTCACGAGGGACATGGCTTGTAGAATTTCAGCAGCTGACAGGTTCTCTGAGTTTCTCTTTAGGGCAAGGAAAGAGTCCTTAGATGGCAGAGCTGGGGAAGAAAAGAGAAAACAGGAGGAGCTAGGCTTGCCTCCCTGCTCCCAGAATGCCTAAGTCCCCACCTACCTGTCCCCACCCACTCTCAAAATTAGAGAGTTGGACAAATCGTGACCGTCACCCAATCCCAAGAAATCAGCTTAAGTTGGAGACAGAACCGGTGCTCCTTCCTCTACCATTTTCTCTAAATACCCAGAGCTTCTTCCCAATTGCTGAAAAATCTCAGACAGGGATGTTCAGACCTGTTCCAGAGATGGAGGCCCGTACCTCAAAGACAAGGAAAGCTCCCCACATCAAGGAAAGCTGGCCTCACTGAGGAAGTACAGAGGACCTGCATAACCCCAGCCCAAAATAAAACCTTCCCAGGACCAGGCCATTTAATTCTCTCATGCATCAAACCTAACAGCTTAAAGTCTCCTCAGCTGTTTTCTGAACTTTCGAACTCACAAAGAACTCCACTGCCCAATCTCAGGCTTTGTAAACAACCACTTCATGGGGCCTACCTTGAGTCAACAAATGGGGTGGAGTTTCAGGTGACAATTAAGACAAATCAGATGGAGCAGACACAGTGCTCCATTACCAGCTCGTAAACGTGCCCTTCCACAGAGACACTGTGTGCAAAGCTGCACACACAACAGTATCTGTTGAAGAAAAGAATACAAAATTCGTACAAAAGTAGTCAAGTCCACAAGTTGGCAAGTGGCTGAATCACTTATTGGCATATCCAAATAATGGAATTGCCATTTAACTATCAAAAATGATACTGGGCAACACTGACAAGGGAAGGTATTCACAGCTAGATCCTTTACTCGATTATGAGAACGTTCAGCAGAGAAAAGAAAAAGTCAAACCACCCACCCATTAGAAGCACGAGCTAAAAAACAAAACTTAAAAACTGGACTAGAAAACGCCCAAGTATTTAGCGCGTTGTCATTTAACCACTTGTTGAATTAATCTTAAAATGAGTAGTATTTTTAAAGGAGCAGAGGACAGTTCCAGAAACATTTCAACTCTAATGTGTAAAAGTGAAATCTCTGTTCCTAAACTAGTGGTTCTAACTCTTTTTGGGGTCTTAGAACCCTTGTAGGACCTCAGTAAACAAGACTTTGTCCCAGATTAAACGAACAAAGAAGGCCATGCATAGGAACGAATGCAAAACACCTGCGATTTCATGGGGTCCGGACCCTTCCCAGGGCTCTTAGGGCTTGAATGTGAGGCTGGGCACCGGAAGGGGGCGCCAGCTGGGAACGCGCCGCGGAGGCCGACGGGAAATGTAGTACCGAGTTGGAAAAGTCAGACTGATGCTGGGGCTGGGCGTCCAATTTGTGTCAGGCCGGAGATCCGCCCTGACGTAACGCCCGCTCCCACACGGACCCAGGCGGTGCTTGGAAATCTCCGGACCTCCTCACCTGCAGTTTCCTAGCCTCAGGTGCCACCGTGCGCCCAGCAGCCGGAGTCGCGCTTCGACCTCGGTACCGGCGGATTCGCCTTCCAGAGCCGGAAGATCGCGCAGGGGCCGTTGGCGCTGCGCTGTGATTGGGCTGGCGGCACAATGCCTCCTGGGAAACGTAGTCTCGAGAAAGCCAGGCGGTGACCAACCCTCGAAGCTGGATATCGCGATGTTTTATGGCATCGGGGGTGTGTGTGTGTGTGTGTGTGTGTGTGTGTGTGTGTGTGTGTGTGTGTGTGTGTGTGTGTGTGTGTGTGTGTGTGTGTGTGTGTGTGTGTGTGTGTGTGTTTTGACAAC